TCCATCAAAATTTTCTTCAGCTCTTTCTTGTTCACCTAGCACCAACACAAAGAATTGGTAATTCTATTCTTTGAGGCCCCAAATTGAGAATTTGTTCTGTGGATCATAACTTCATAGGTGAAAGATGTTTTGGGTGGGCGTTGGGGGCAGGCCGGCCATGGGAGGGCGTTACTGGACCCCAGGACACCACAAGGTCATTCAGTTAAATTTGGGTTCTTTTTTATGAGATTAAAAGGTTTGATTTTTAGAGAAAAATGATGAACGAATTACTTTCCTGGCTCGTCTCAAGTTCGTATATTACCATTCCCAATTCCCATTGCACCGATGAAAAAATGGTGCGGGTGGGGTGGGGCTGGGGGTGGGACTGGGGCTGGAAGAGGATGAGAAGAAAAATATGGAGGGAGAGGGTTGGGGTCTTCAAGAAGATGAAGAAAAAGATGGAGAACCAAGAAAAAAAATGGGAGTCAAAATCATAAAATTTAAATTTAGAAAATTATAATTTAATCCTAAATGATCTGAAGGTGACTTAGAAACTACCTATTGGACCATCGGTGAAAAAATGTTGAAAGTTCGTGTATTTTAGTGATAGAAATTAAAGTTTATATACCGAAGTGAAATAATTATAAAAGTTCGTATACCATGCATGAAATGTACCCAATGATGAGACCCAATTTAAAAACCCATCCCCCTAACACTTTAAGAGAGTGTTTGAGAGTGATTAACTTATGGATACAGTGATTTCCACAAAAGCTGAAAGCAGAAGCCCCTCCTACTTGCTTCTCCGAAACGGTGTTCTATGTACAAAATAGTTGTGGTGAAAAGTAGAAGCTGACATGCCAAACAGATTAAAATCACTTCTACTCAAAGCAGAAACTAAATGATTAAAAGCAACACACTGTCAAACAGCCTCTAAAAATCGTAGATCCATCCAATTTAAATGAAATACAGTGGTAAGAAATGCTGGTCCCCAAATGACCAAACCTTTCGCGATCGAACTTAACCAAAATTAAAGATATCCCGTTGGTAGGAGTAGGAATAATAAATTACTCGTGATAATACATATCTTCGTCTTTCAAAAAATTTATATTTCATCATCCATTTATATTTAAAAAGTCATTTTTTTAATTTTTCTTTTTTTTGTAATTATATTTTTTTCTTGATAGAATTTATGATGGGTATGAACAACTGGATTGGGCTATAAGACACTTGGGCTGAACCACATTAAAAGATTGAATCCAATCGATTAGTTAGTTCAATTCAAGAGCTTATATACCAGTTATTTTGCTCTTGAACTTCCGATGTGGGATAACACTCTAACATTTCTCCTTTAAATTTCTCTCTCGTTTTCAACTATACAAATACACATTTTAAAATCATTAAATACTCTTAGACCGCAATAAATATTTTCTTTAAGACTATGCAGCAGTGTGTAGCGGAAAAGAAGAACGGGAAAGGCCACGTGGCGCGGGAAAGGAAGGGGAACACCGCGCCCCCATGCGGGAATGGGAAAGGCATGATCCTCTTCCCATTTTTCCCGTCTGGCTTTTAAGCGCAAATTTGACCGTTCAGAGGTTAGATTTCAATTTTTTAAAATTTTCTTTTGAATGTAACTGTTGGAAATTTAAAAAAATTAAAATTAAAAAATTTTCACTATTTAAACACAACACTCCACTCATCTTTTTCACACACTTCACACCAATTTATTTGAAGAGTGATGCTTATATGATCTCAAAGTCTACATTTAAAATGCAGATTTTCTCACATTTTTCATGTGTTTCATGTGGATATTCTATATATTTTGTAAAAAGCCCACTTTTTTATATTTTAAGTTTAATTATTTCAATTCAAACAAGTGTTAAAAAAATAATATTGAAAATTGAGAGGGAAAGAAGAAGGCAAAGCATTCCCCTCGAAGGAGCTAGAAGGGCAGGGGAGCGAAAAACTGAAGTTACATGGCACTGAGTTGGCCGAAGGAGAAAGGGGAAAAAGGAAAGACATAACACATAGCCTAACATTTTTTAGGAGGTAAGACAATCTTCACCTGATCTGAATGGTTCTGATCTAATTAATGGTATGTTTGGGAACATGGATTTGAATTTTAAATCCGGATTTGGCTCAAATTTCATGTTTGGGAAACTTGAAAATTTTGAATTTAGATTTGAGTCAAATTCTTCTCATTCATAACATAAAATAATTTTGATCTAGTCTAATCTGTTCTCAATGTAATTATATCTATAATTATTTTTTATCTAATCTAATTTTATCAAATTATAATAAAAAGTAGTCGTAAGTAATCAAAATAAATTAAGAAGACATACCTTAATAAGGAATGGCAAAGCGTGAGTGTGGGCTGGCAGATCAGCTAGCTGGCTTTATCGTCACCACACTGAATTCCAAATTCGTTGAAACTTTAAGAAAAGAAATACTCACTCCATACCGGAGGTCATCAATTGGCTTTTTTATTACGGAGTATTATTTTTTTTAATTTTAAAGGCAAGCATTGGTAAAGAGATTTTATTTCCCTATTTTCTTCCTACTCCGATCCCTCCTTACAGTCAATTAATTCATTCTTCTTTTATTTATCCTAAAAAAAAAAGTACACATTACTATATTTTTTTGGTACCGTACAAGACCGTGTTTGATAAAATAAATGTATTTTAATTTCTATTGCAGTAAATAAAAACACGCAAGTCCTATTTTGTTATATTTTTAATATTTTTCCCATACTTTTATCTTTTTCTCTTACTATTCATACGGTCAAACTTTAATCATTCTTTTTATGTACTTATTTTCGTTAGTTTTTGATAAAATAATATAGTCTTGTCACTCTTGTTTTGTACTCCTACAAGTTTTGATGTAGTTTCTAAATATATAAATTTTATTTTTTAATTTTACACCTACAATCAAATAAATTGAATTGAAAATAAAGTCGACCCAACTTCATAAATAGAAATCAAAATAAAGTCGACCCAACTTCATACATTTAGATATTTATCACTATTCTATTATCCGGGTTTAGTGACGATATAGATGAGCAAAAAGACCGGACGAGTCAGACCGGATCGTTCTTTGGAAATTAAGACCGGTATAATTTAGGACGGGATCGGTCCAGTTTTCTTTAAAAACCTGTCCTGACTAGTCTAGTCTTCACAAAAAATAGAGATCTTTTGGGACCAGATAATCCCTTAGGACCGGCCCAAGTCCGGTCCGGTCCTTAACATGTTAACTTCTTAAATTTTTGTTTTTCCAAAAAAGTACTCAAAAAAATAAAAAAAATAATCTTATTTTTGATTATTTAATTTCTTTTTTTCTATAATTTATTGATTTATAATAATTATACAACATAAATATTATTATGTAAGATGGAAGTTGGATAGAATTACCGAAAAAATAAATTTAATATCAATGTTTTATACGTATGAGATTTTTTTATCACTTCTTTGTAAATTTTAAACAAAATCATGTAATACACTATGCTCTATATTGATACGATAAATATATTTCTATAAAAGTTTAATTTTAAATTACAGGTATACATGTATAAAAGTTATATAATCCCTCCGTCCCAAAATATTTGTCACACTTGCTTTTTCAGCAGTTACGAGAACTTTTGTTTATTTCTACGTTTTCATTGGTTACGGAGTATTTGACAAAATAAAATATTCTTGACACATTTTAGAACTTTTCATGTATTATTTTGATATGTAAATTTTATTTTTTATTTCTATACCAATATGTAAATAAAATGAATTGAAAAAATTTGATATTTTGCCTCGGAAATACAAGTGTGAAAAATATTTAGGGACGTAGGGAGTATCAAATACATTATATTTCTAGTCCTAGTCTGATCACGGTCTAGTCTTTTAGAAAACTCTAAGCTCACGACCAGTCTAGTTTTCATAAAAATTCAAAGACTAAATGACACTACTAGTCTCGAGGATTACATCAATCTTATCATTTCCGGTTTCAATTTCAATATATCTCGATCAATCTTTTCGGTTCTAGTCTTTATATCTATCCCTAACGGGCGGCCAACCTTCTTTGGCTCAGAAAAATACGTGGAAGCCAGGGGCGGACCTACGGTTGTGCAAGTGGGGTCAATTGCACCCACTCCAAAAAAAATTATTTATTAGTAGTAGTATGTAATTAGCTATAATATGTAGATTAAGGGCATCCAAGAAGAGTATATTTATATGTGATTATGTGCTATTTTTTTGAAAATAGAACAGAGAACACCTTTTATAATTGTGTAGAATTTTATGTTTTAATTCTTTTAGATTTGGAAAATTGATTTAACTTTGATGGGTGTATTCCACCCACGACCGGTCAAAGGAGAAGGCCAAATCGTTGACCGGTCAATCTCAAGAGTTTTGGAAGGGAGACTTAAATCGTCAGCAAAACGACATATCATCGGCCAAAATGTGACCGGTATACTTTACAAAAAAGTATACCGGTCAAACTACGTTGTCATCCTATTTATTCCAGACTTCGATAAATTCATCCCTCGGAGATTACCCGGTGTAGTTTCTAGGGTTGGAAAGTGTCGGCAGAAGAGGATCTACGAGGGTTTGGCGTGTAGCGACCCGTGTCAGTAGAGGACAGCTGGAGATGCTGAAGAATCCATCCAAGGCGCTACTCGACAAAGGGAATGATCCCCCTCACAAGGCGACAAGGCAGCTCGAGGACGAAACCAGTCACCTCGCACCACATCAGCAGCATGCGCCCACGTGGGCGCACGTGGCCCTGTCCCCTTAGCCTAGTATAAATACTCATGTAAACCTCAGAAAGAGGGATCCGAATTCATTTTCTCTAAACTCCCTTGTAAAAGCACCCGGGCATTCTCCGTTATAATATAAATTGGGCTACAGGTGTTCCACCTAAAGTCCTACTGGTCAGTCTGCGTGTTTTTACCTTTCTTACTTTGCCAAATCAAGCAAACTATTCTAGACCCGGTCTAGTATAGTTTGACCGGTCAAGTGATTTACACCATCATTTTTGGCGCCACTCGTGGGACCGTTAAGGTTTCTTCTCCTAAACACAAACCTACCCACCAAAACACCACTCGAAATGTCTTCCAGCCAACAAATCAACGCTACTTCCGCTCAGGTGCAGGCCACCAACGAGGGAGCCAGCATCCCTGTGGCTGCTACCATACCGGTCATTTCAACCCCGATGTTGCCTTTGGGTCTAAGCTCTGTCCCGACGGCCAGCGTGATCAGTCCTTTCGCGACCCCTGTCCCTTCCGCTGGGCCGAGGGTTACGTTCCCACCAAGCATGGCTCAGTTCATGAATGACCCAGCCAACCTACAAGCCATCCAGGGCTTTGGCCAGGTCATGGCCATGTGCCAGCAGAGCGGGGGGATGCCTTTCCTCCCTGGTATGTTCCCGTTTGCCCTTCCAGGCGCGGGAACCATGCCCCTACAAGCTCCGATGGCAGTTACGTCGTTCCAGACGCCGATGCCGCAGCCATCACCTTTCCAGCCCAGCTGGTCAGCACCATGGCCCCTGTCAACTTGACCGGCGCACTTAACGCCGCAGGGCCATCGCGTCCCCCGCGAACTACGAATCCGCAGATCACTCCTGATGGTCATTGCGTCTCGATTGAGAGTGATGACGGCGAGTGGGACATCCCGAGGTCCCACAAGAAGAAGAAAGGAAAAAACATCCGGCCAGCGACCTCCCAAAACTCCGCCTTCGAAAGGCTGGGGGATAGGGAGGAAAGCCAGAGGAAGTCAGCCAAGCAAAGGCTGGGGCAGAGTGTTGCCCATGTCAGCGCATTCGCCCGGCTAGGCGAGGTGCGGGAGGCCGAGCCTGCCCGCACCCGGCGCTCCCGGTCTAACCGGCAGGAGCCAACGAGGACGAGGGCCTCCCACGAGGAAGGGGAGGCAGAAAGCCAGCCCAGGTTACCGGTGGCGAACCGGTTAGCCATCCTAAACGACCGCGTCCAGCAGATGGAGGCAAAGCTGGAAAGGCTGGAAAAGAAGGTCGGAGAGAAGAATGACCGGGACAAACCCCTGGCAGGGTCCCCGTTCACCACAAGGGTCCATCTGACACCTTTACCGCGAAAGGTCAAGATCGACGCCCCCAGATTCACCGGGAAGGAAGATCCGGAAATCCATCTGGACTCCTTCAACCAGAGTGCGACCATGAACGGTTGCACCGATGAAGAAAAGTGCCTTCTTTTCTTCCAGACCTTGCGGAACCGAGCCACTGAATGGTTCAATAAGCTTCGCCCGGGAAGTATTGACTCGTTCAGTGATTTGGCCTCAAAGTTCAAGGCCAAATCAAAAAAGTTCAAGGACATCAAATGCGTCCACAACGCAATTCTTGGAAGGCCAGGCATCAATAGAGTTGGGGCGGTGATTTCCATGCCTCATCTATGCATGAAGTTCCACACTCCAGGTGGTGTGGGTGAGGTGAAGGGCGATCAGAGGAACGCCCGGGAGTGCTATGCCCAGGCAGTCAAGAAGATGACCAAGGGGGTCAATGTCATCTCCCAAGAGATCACAAAGGGAGAGACCCGGGAGAAATTGGAGCCCAACCCAGAAAAAATCCGGGCCATCACTGAAATGCAAGCCCCTACCTCCATTAGGGATGTTCAAAAGTTGACCGGTCGTTTAGCGGCCCTCAGCCGGTTCCTTTCCCGGTCAGCTGAGAGATCCCTGCCCTTCTTCAAAGTTCTGAAGAAAGCCAACACATTCGCATGGGACGAAGAATGCCGGAGGGCATTCGAGGAGCTGAAAGAGTACCTAGCGTCGGATATTGTATTGTCTAAACCCGAACCGGGTGAAACTCTATATCTGTACCTGGGAATTTCCCCAAACGCTGTAAGCTCCGTTTTAATAAGAGATGATGGGGCACAAAAGCCCATTTATTATGTGAGCAAAGCACTAAACGGGGCTGAGAGTAGATATACGGTGATGGAAAAGACAACCTTTGCGCTTTTCATCTCCGCAAAAAAGTTAACATCTTACTTCCAAGCTCACCCGGTAGAAGTCTTGACTGACCAACCGCTGGGTGCAGTGTTGCGAAATTCAACATCCTCCGGGAGGATGGTGAAGTGGGCGATGATGTTAACTCAATTCCACATTGAGTACCGGCCAATGTCAGCAATCAAGGGACAGGCCCTAGCTGACTTCCTAGTATAAATGACCGGTCTAACTCCAGACTTACCGGTCAACAAGCCCACTGAGCAATGGTGGGAGATGGCAGTTGACGGAGCATCCGGTCCTAGAGGATACTGGGGTGGTATCGTGTTCACCACCCCAGAAGGGTTCAAGATCTACCATGCAATCGTCTTCAACTTCAAACTGACGAACAATGAGGCAGAATATGAAGCTCTGGCTGGAGGGCTCAGACTTGCCCAAGCCCTGAAAATCAGCCGGGTCAGTATCAAATCTGACTCTAGCCTGATAGTTGGGCAAGTGACCGGTAACATGGAAGCAAGGGAAGGACGCATGGCACAATACAAGGACCTTGTACATGCCCTATTGAGAGGCTTCGAAGAGTTCAAGATCGCCCAAATTCCCCGGGCGGAAAACGCGGATGCAGACCTTCTCTCCAAATTGTCGCAGTATGCTCCCGAGCATGTTTCAAAACTTGCCCGGGCAGAGATCCTTGACCGCGCAAGCATTGAAAAATTGGAAGTCGCCGCTATAACGGCCGGAAGCCAATTTGACCGGTCAAACTTGGTCGGGGCGGACGACCATTGGATGTATGATCTGATGGAATATTTGGTGGATGGGAGCTTGCCAGAAAAAGATGACCGGGCAAGAAAAGTGAAGCTCAGGGCACCCCGATTCCAGATTCTTGATGGAAAGCTGTATAAAAGGGCATTTGGGGGGGCACTCCTGAGATGTCTAACCAACCGGGAGGCTGAGCGAGTCATCGCGGAGGTCCACGAAGGCGTATGCGCGGCGCATCAAATGTCCCGTACGCTTTCCCAGCGCATCATCTTGTTGGGATATTACTGGCCAACAATTGTACAGGATTGTGAAAGGTACGTCCAGAAATGCAGGACGTGCCAAGTATTCTACAAATATCCCGGTAGACCGGCGACCTACTACCACCCCGTATCGAATGTCATCCCATTCGCTAGATTCGGGGTTGATATCATTGGAGCCGTTCCAGTCGCCCAAGGAGGGAAGAAGTTTGTAATCGTAGCCATCGATTACTTCACCAAGTGGATCGAGGCCGAAGCACTGGCCAACATTACCACGTAACAATGCAAGAAATTCATTTGGAAGAACATCATCACGAGGTTTGGAGCGCCCATGAACTTCATCACTGACAACGGCCCACAATTCCAAAATCCAAGATTCACCGAATACTTGGAGGGCTTCGGGATCAAGCACAATCGCTCTTCGGTGGCGTACCCCCAAGGAAATGGCCAAGTCGAAAACGCCAACAGAACTATTGTAGATGGTTTGAAGAAACGGCTAGGAGAGGCAGGAAACAAGTGGCTGGAAGAGCTCCCACACATCGTATGGGCATTCCGAGTAACACCCAGAAGGGCTCACGGGGAAACTCCATTCTCCCTAACCTATGGGTGTGAAGCAAGGCTGCCTATCGAAGCTGAATTCCCCACGTTTCGGGAGTCAAATTATCAACCCCAGCAGAATGAGGAAGATCACTTGGCCGAACTCAACTTGGTCGAAGAGCAGAGAATGGCCGCGGAAGTTAAAATGAGTACATACCAACAAGTTGTGAAGAAGTACCATGACAACAAGGTTGGGCCGCGGTACTTCCAAGTTGGTGATGAAGTCCTACGAAGAAGAGAAGCAAGTAGACCCGGAGACGGGGGAAAGCTAGCAATAAACTGGGAAGGCCCATACAGGGTTAGAGCCATCATCCGGCCAGAAACATACCGGTTGGAAACTTTAGATGGTGTACCGATAGAAAGAACTTGGAATTCCCACCATCTTCGCAAGTTCTACAAATGATTGTAATACTAGGCGAGGCCTAACTACATTATCAATCAAAGTAATATTCAATGCTCTACTTGGTAGCGGCAGAATTGGTAGGTCGAACCTATCCTAGGAGGGCTTCCTGGGTGGATCGAATCCACTTGGATAAGCCAACTGAGACACAGGCCCGGACCTGACACGCTAGTTACTACACCGGTCTTGCTCAGTATAATAGAAAAAATATTAAAACCCGGAAGAGGGGCCCGGAAGAGGGTATGCCTGCAAGAGGGCTGGACCTGGAAGAGGGTTCGAACCGTACTTACACGGGCCCATGAGGTTTGACCGGTGTCGGGGAATCAGCCGGCGCCGTCAAATTGATTGGGGACTAAAAGATGTCCATTAAAAGAAATAGAAGGGGATCGTCCACCGTGGCGCATCCTGTTTCCCCCTTCTCAGGGAAGACTTGAACGGGAGGGTGAGCTAAGGCCTTCCCGGAATGGTAGAAATCAAAGGGCCATCAAAAGACTTAATCACCCGGAAGAGGGGGCCCTGGAAGAAGGGTGCATTTGAACCTTGGAGAGGGTTCGAAACCATTCGACATGGTTAAATCTCCAGTATTCTTACCGGTTAAGGATACTTCAAGAATTACTAGGTTACAGGTGCTTCCATCTACAACCTACCGGTCAAGTAAAAAAAAAAAAAAGAATACCCCGGTCGGGTATGGGCACAACAGAACTTCGAAAGTTCTACATCCATCGAAAGGCAAGGCAGTCGACCGGTCAAACCATGGAGTGGGAATTCACCGGTCAAAGTGAACTTTACCAAAAGAATTTGTGAAGCTATCCAAAGGGCAAAAGTAAAGTTCGGCCGGTCAAACTTTTTAAGTTGGCCAAAATGATGAAGACGTTCGAAAAGGAAAAATTGAAGTTTAACCGGTCAAAGATACTCGAGCTAATCCTTCAGATGAAGTAATCAAAGAGAACTTTGAGGTTCCACCGGTCGAAAACAATTGAGAAGTGGCCTGATTTATGTACCGTTCAGAATTTCTATGAGGGTATTCTAAGAAGCAAGAGCGAAGTATAAATCAACAAACAAGTAGATATGGAAGATTAACCGGGTAGGAAAATAAACATGGCATTTAAGGCAGGAAATGTCAAATGTTTACAGATACACCGGGCATATCCGGGGAAATTGATAAGGTTTAAAGTTCTACAAAAGCAACCGGTCAAGGCCGGGGAGTTCTTAATCTAGGGGGAAAGGGGGAGTAGGCTCTTCTTCCGGGATGGGAGCCAGGCCATAGGATGCAGCGCTGAAGTTTGGATCTCTTCTGAGCAGTACCCGGTGAGAAGCGATCATGTCCTTCTTTTGACCGCTCTTGAATCCGAAGGATCCAATCGCGGTAATCATCTTCTTTCCTTCAGGCTCCCGGTACAGAAGCCTGAAGGACTCCATCGTCGTCTCTGGAGTCGCCGTCATCACCCGGGCAGCTTCAGCCTTATTCTCTTCCACCCAGGCAGCTGCGCGCCCGGGGAAGGTTTCTTCCTTCTCCGATACTTCCCGCTTGGCTTCAGCGACTTCATCCAGGAGCCGGCCATTCTCCTCCTTCAGTTGGAAGATCTCGGTCTTCATTGCCCCGGCCAGCCCAGACAGCCGGATCAGCTCATCAGCCTGGCTCCTCAGGATGAGTGCCATCTCTTCTTTCTCCTTCTTCAGCCGGTCGACTTCAGAAGGGGAACTCATCCCCAACCGGTCCACTGTTTGCGGCCCAATCTCCCCCGCCTGCACAAAAAACAAAACAAACCGGTAAGTTTCTCAATAGAGGAAGATGAAAATAAAGACCGGGATGACGGCAGGACTTACCTCCTTCAGCCTCAGCCCCAGATTAATGAAGGCTTCTTCAATGGTCTGGCCGGCCGGCTCAGGATCTGACCTTGCCCTCTTCTTGGCATAGGAAGGGTGCGTGGTGGCCACCTTCTTCACCCGGCGACCGGCCTTTTCCTTCTCCTTCCCCTTAGACCGATTGTCTTGGGGCTCGTCTTCATCCAGGATTACCACGGTCTCTGGATTGACCGGGAAAGTCCTGGCAGGATTGGCTTGGGAGCCCCCGGTCTCCCCGGCTGGTTGGTCGTCAGGGATGGCGAACTCCTCAAACTCCATATCTGCAAGAGAAGCTGAAATCGTTAAGTACCAGGAGAGACACCGGTCAAACTACGAATCACAAGAAAAGTGAAAAGTACCTGGATGGTTCTGGCCCTCAGCCTCTGCAGTGTTGCCCGGGGAGGGTACCCCGCGCCCCGCTGCTTCCTGGGCCTGGGAGGTACCCTCACCACCCGAATCTACCCTCCAAACCCAGCTGCCTTGATGGAAGATCCTCCCGGTTTAAGGATCCCCGCGCATGAGGATCTCGAGACTAGCTTCCAAGTCTGGGGAGGAGGCCGGTGCAGCATACTCTTTGTCGAGGAGATGGTCATTCCATTTCAGACCGGCCAGAGGAGTGAAGAAGGGGGGAAACTCGATGAAAACAAACTTTTCCTTCCATCCCCGGTTACTCTGGGGGACTTCGGAAATGAACTTCCTACCGGTGCGGGCTTTGAAGAATACAAAGCCTTCGTAGCCAGCTCCGCCCGGTAGGACTTCGAAGCAAAAAAGGAAAAGACGCAAAGAAGGGAAGATTTTCAGATGGGTACAGATATTTACAAAGGAATGGAGGTACCGGTGGGCGTTGGGAGTTATTTGACCGGGCAAAATCCCAAACGCGTGGCATACTTTCGTTAGGAGGGGGCGAAGGGGAAAAACTATGCCCGCATTCAGGGAAACGGTATGGAACCCTATCCTATCCTCCCGGTGGGGTTCAACGATATTGGGCCAGTTAGGTTCGTAGAGGAGGGTATACCCATCCGGGAGCCTCCTACGGATTTTGTTTAAGGCAATTTTAGATACACGGGAAGGTATGTCAAGGACGTAGAAAGTGGGAAGCGGAAAGTAACCGGCAGCATGAAGCCGCTCCTCCCACGCATCCCGGGTTTCGTGTCCAGGGTCGTAGGGGCCCGGTTCGTCATCGACCGGGTCATCCCTCCCCACGAAGGTTTCACCGGGCACCTGATTTACAGGATGCGGGTCGGGAATGGAGGAGTTGGGAACCTGACCGGGCGTGGATTCAGGAGAAGAAGACCCGGTCGAGGAAGATGAGTTGGAATCCTCAGAGGAGCAGTCCTCTGAGGACGAGATCCTATCGCTAAACGAAGACATGGCCGGGAAAGAAAAAAGAGAAGGAAGGGGGAACTTACTTGACTCGGAGGGCTGAATAGCGAAAGAGAAGGAACTTGACCGGTGAAAGCTCTGAGACTCGATCGCGGAAAGTGAACAAAGGAGAGGGGTGGAGGCCTTTATATAGGCGAGGAAGAATTGAGCGAGGGCGACGTGGCTTCCTCTGGGCACGCCGCGTCAGGCGGCGCCATCATGACACCTGGGAAGGCGGGCGGACGCAGAAGAGGCGCGTCCAGCGCGCGACACGTGTCCAACGGATACTTTTCAAATTCAAAATTTGAAATATTCTAGCGGGAAACGGACAGAAATTCAAAATTTGAACCCATTTTTCAAGATTTTTTACTTCCCGCTCATGACAAATTGCATGACCGAGAAGTGGAGGGCTTATTGATGGGTGTATTCCACCCACGACCGGTCAAAGGAGAAGGCCAAATCGTTGACCGGTCAATCTCGAGAGTTTTGGAAGGGAGACTTAAATCGTCAGCAAAACGACATATCATCGGCCAAAATGTGACCGGTATACTTTACAAAAAAGTATACCGGTCAAACTACGTTGTCATCCTATTTATTCCAGACTTCGATAAATTCATCCCTCGGAGATTACCCAGTGTAGTTTCTAGGGTTGGAAAGTGTCGGCAGAAGAGGATCTACGAGGGTTTGGCGTGTAGCGACCCGTGTCAGTAGAGGACAGCTGGAGATGCTGAAGAATCCATCCAAGGCGCTACTCGACAAAGGGAATGATCCCCCTCACAAGGCGACAAGGCAGCTCGAGGACGAAACCAGTCACCTCGCACCACATCAGCAGCATGCGCCCACGTGGGCGCACGTGGCCCTGTCCCCTTAGCCTAGTATAAATACTCATGTAAACCTCAGAAAGAGGGATCCGAATTCATTTTCTCTAAACTCCCTTGTAAAAGCACCGGGACATTCTCCGTTATAATATAAATTGGCCTACAGGTGTTCCACCTAAAGTCCTACCGGTCAGTCTGCGTGTTTTTACCTTTCTTACTTTGCCAAATCAAGCAAACTATTCTAAACCCGGTCTAGTATAGTTTGACCGGTCAAGTGATTTAAATCATCAAACTTTAATTACGAAACGTAATTATAAAATGTTCAATTTTTTGAAATGTATGAACAAGTTTAATTTTTTTGAAAAGATTCCTAAAATATACTTAGTATTTGAAGAAATTTCTAGAATTAATATTTTAGTTGTTTAGTTTTTTTTCTTTGTTGGTTAAAGCAATGAACGTATTATATTTATTATACATTATTTCAAAAATATTACATACAACTTGCAATATTTATCTCAGAATGCTATTTATTGGTACTTTTTTACCTTGTTTTAAATTTATTGCTATACAAATATCAACATTTTATTTTGAAATATTTACACTAAATAGCACATTGGGAAGAATATCCATAATGTCCAGTGATATCGAATATTTGCTTGAATAATGACTAACGCATAATGACTAAAAGTGCTACATTGGGAAGAAAAACACATGTGGTGCTATTTGGAGAAAGTCATTATGTTTTAGTGCTATTTAAATAAATTTCTCTTTTCTTTTTGTGCACAAAATGTGAACCCACTCACCGAGAGGGACCCCCCTAATTAAATTCAGGAGTAATGGCCCGCCAGACCCGAAGAGCCCATACACTCTGTTCATGTGCCCCACGCCAAAAGAGTGAGTGACTGAGCAAAGGGAAGGGAATCATGCTAGCTAGCAAGGGGCAAAATAGGACTCCCCTTTTTTTAAATCCTTAATCGCATTGCCAGCTGTGAAGTTCAGTGACCAGCTGTATTCCGCCACGTGTTCCTCAACCATTGGCTCCCACGTTGGCTCGTCGCCTTATCCTTTCGATTGGTGGACCCCGCCTTTAGTGTCCAGCCTAGCAATAATCTTTTCAACGGCTATAATATTCCACTTCCATGCGTATTCTCACTCCTACGTGGCACTGCACAGTCCGACCTGGCAGTATGGCTTCCCCCACGAACCCTCAATCCCGGGATTATAAATACCCGCTCTACGCCGGAGTTCAAGTAGACTCCGGGCAGCACGGAAAAAGAAGAGAGCTTGAGTTATAAATTATAATAATGGCCTTCTCAGGTTCGACGGCGGCGAGTTACGGCGTTTTCTTGGTGCTCTGCTTTGCCGGTTTAGCGGCGGCCATCCCGGCGAGATTTGACGACCTCTTTCAGCCTACCTCTCAGGCCGACCACCTCATTGTTGACGGAGATGTCCTCCACATGAAACTAGATAACCTCTCCGGTACGTCCCTCCGCCGGATCTGTTTCAGTTTCCTGTCGGCGCTTATCTTTTCTTGAATTTTCTTTGATGGTAATTTGACATTTTGGTTTTCAGCTGCTGGGTTTCAATCGAAGAGTAAGTATCTGTTCGGAAAAGTCACCGCCAAGATCAAGCTGGTCGCCGGAGACTCCGCCGGGACTGTCACCGCCTTCTACGTACGTAGAAGCTACTTCAATTCCTTTTGAAATGAAATGCAGATGTGCCATTGATTAACATGTTCTGCTATACATTTTGGATTGATTGTCACAGATGTCATCGGATGGGGCAAAACACCACGAGTTCGATTTCGAGTTCTTGGGGAACACTTCCGGCGAGCCATATCTGGTTCAGACCAATGTTTACGTAAACGGCGTCGGAGACAGGGAAGAAAGAGTGAACCTCTGGTTCGATCCCACAAAGGATTTCCATTCCTACACCATAAAATGGACCCCACGCAAAGTCATGTGAGTAAATTAAAGGCTACCACAGTTTCGCTCACCCACTCCATTATTGATTGTGAATTCAAGAAATTGGCATTGAATCTTTCCCTGTCGAATTGGGTCCCCATTAATTAAGGGTAACCACTAATCAATTCTGTTTTTCCGGCCAGGTTCATCGTTGACGGAACGCCGATCAGAGTGCACGCGAACATGGAGGACAAGGGGATTCCGTTCCCCGGAGATCAAGCGATGGGCGTGCTGAGCTCGCTCTGGAGCGCCGACGATTGGGCCACACAGGGCGGGAAGGTGAAGACGGACTGGACCCACGCCCCCTTCGTCGCGTCCTACACCGGCTTCGACATTGATGCCTGCGAAGTTCCGGCCACCGTGGCGCCGGCGGACCACGCCAAGCACTGCAGCAGTGGCGGCGAGAAGCGGTTCTGGTGGGAGGATCCGACGATGTCGGTGATGAACGTGCACCAGAGCCACCAGCTCATCTGGGTCCGGGCGAACCATATGGTCTACAACTACTGTACGGACACCACCAGGTTCCCGGCTCCGCCGGTGGAGTGCCAGCACCACCGCCACCAGTACTACAGCCACCGCTATTAATTAGTTTGAGCTGTTAAGAAGAAAAAAAGGGACATGTCCTCCATGTTACATATTTTTGCTTTTTAATTTCGTAGATTGGTGTTGCTATTTTGGTACGTGCATGTAAACTTTATTATCTCGTCAAAATATATTTGCAATCCTATTTAGACCTACTTCCTATTTCATTTTAACCAAATTTATGAAAACTATTTACTCCGTATTACTCCATTCCAAAATATTTGCCAGGAACGGTAAATAGAATCAAAATATTACATGAATATTTTATTTTATCAAATAATTACATAAAAATGTATAATATTAAATTAAAAATAATTTTTGCCAAATATTATAAACTAAAATGGGCAACATAAATTAAGACAAAAGAAATGGTATCTAAAGTTTTTCGTCGTCATTAAGTAAATCCAAATATTCAAAGTAATTTGATTACATTAAGATCAAAAACTGAATTTCTCCCTTGACTTTGAATTGAATGGTAGGACTCTAAAAGTAATTGGAAAATTCACTCAATTTGGTCTCACAAAAAGCGACATGAGATCGTTCCACCGATGAGCTTTATCTCAATCGTAAAGTGCTTGACTAAAGTTCTGTTTGGGAATAACTTTAGCGATTAGCGTTAGCATTTTGATTATGCTATCTACGGGCAGCGTTTAACGTTTGCGTTTTCAAAATAATCTGCATCGTTAAAATTTTATTCAAAATGCTAACGCTAATCTCTAACGTTATTCCCAAACATGTCATAAATAACATGTGATGACACTAGGAAAGCGTATAAACCAATTTGATTTATTCTCTTTTTCTACTCCCTACTCCCTTAATTTGATTATATTTTTTTTTCTTGTTGATAGCTTTTGTTTGTTTACGCGATTTCATTAAGTATTTGATAAAATAAAATGTTTTTGTCACTTCTTGTTTTGTAAAACTTTGACATACTCCCTCCGTCCTAAAACTTTCTTCCCGGTTCGCAAAACGAAGAAAAATCCCAAGAGGTGACAAGAATAAAAAATAAAACATACATATTTAAAAACTGTATCAAAAGTTCAACAAAACAAGTGGTGACAAGAATATTTTATTTTATCAAAGCTGATGGATTATTCCGTGGTACTGACGGGCCTCGCACCAACAAGGCTGATCGCGAGGCTTAGACTCATTTATTAAGAGATATTGAGATTGGCCTAAACTAATGGCCCAATAGCCCATCACAAACCCTCCACTCCATGTGCCTTAAGTGGGTCATTGAGGAATGAGGAGTCCTCAACCGTTGCCCAATCACCTTTCTTTGGGCCTTACACGCATCTCTCGCGTGGCACTCTTTGGTAATTGCGTCGTAGCCGTCCCATCTCTTCGATCGAGCGGTCATGCACGATCTCCACTAAATCCATCATTACATGTCGTTTCGCCTCTTCCTTCCCTCGATAAGGGTGGTTTCCCTAAGAGGGAATTTTTTTTGAATATAATTCCCGGTTGGGAAAAGAAAATTCATGGCAAGGAAAATCGGCTTTTGACATTGCGATTTTATTTTTGGTTTTTTTGGTTTTCGGCTTTCTTAAATTCGTTTCCTTTTTTTTAATTCTGTTTTTTCGGCTTTCCAAAAGCCATTTCAGGCACAATAATGGCCTGAAATGGCCGGTTCATTGTCGAAAAAGTACGTGTGGATCCGGAGTACAAAGTGAAGTTAATCCAACATGATGTTTTACATGAATTTCATGTTCCTGTGTCGTATAAAAAATGTTGGTTAGCTCGGATCCGTGCTACAGAGTTATTGTACGGTAGTTGGGAGAATTCGTACTTTAAATATGAAGAGACCCAGCGCTTTAAGTATCCGAACCACCAAACCTTAATGTCACGCCTAAAGAGACCCAGCTCTTTAAGTATGCATTTTGGGCATTCGCCGCGGCAATACATGGATTACAATACTGCATGCTAGTAGTGACGGTGGACGGAACTCATTTGTACGGAAAGTACAAGGGTCATCTCTTTCTTGCGGTTGCCATGAATGGTAATCGTGAAATCTTTCCTCTGGCTTATGCGGTTGTTGACGGAGAAACATGTGAGAGTTGGGCTTGGTTTTTTCGCCTTCTTGTTCAGAGGGTTATCGGCTCACAACAATTATGCATTACTTCTGACAGACATATTGGAATCATTAATTCATATCGTGACCTTCCAGAACTACAGACCGGATTGATAATGAAACGTTTTTGTCTTCGTCACATTCGGAGCAACTTCATGACAAAGTTCCGGAACAGTGATCTTAAAAATTTGGTTCGGGCTGCGGGTAGTACACATAATATCCAACAATTTGAAGGATATATGACTGTAATACGAAACATGAGTGAGGAGGGATATAAGTATTTAAATGATATTCCCCGTGCGGCATGGACCCTTTGTTTTGATGGTGGATTTAGGTGTGGTATCTTAACGACAAATAGTTCTGAGAGTTTCAAAAATATGTTGAAAGGTTGTCGTATGTTACCTGTCACTGCCATTTTATCCATGTCCTATGCCAAGATGGTTGAATTGTTTGCTAAAAGGTACAAGCTTGGTATTCAAAGGCAAGAACAGAGCATACGCATTACTTCGAAAATTAAAAATGTTCTCCTTAATCGGGAGAAAACTAAGCACAAGTGGGCAGTTTCAAGCTACGGTAACAACCAATACGTAGTGACCCACACATCTCGAACAAATCCTTCTTTTATTTACAGCTACTTGGTCAATTTGTTTACTAGTGTATGCACTTGTGGGCAATCGACTTCCGACAGTATACCCTGTGTTCATGTTCATGCGGTTTACCACTCTTTTCGACAACAAGTTCCTCACAACATATTGCCGGCTAGGTACTCGATTCAAAACTACTTGAGTGGTTATAGTGGTATAATTCAACCTGTTCTTTTCCCTCAAAATTTGGATGTTGGCAGCTTTAAAGTTCTACCTCCCAAACGGCCAACAGATGAGATTCCACGTTCAGGGAGACGTCAACACAATCGATACCAGGGCGAGATGGATTTCAGGGCAAGGAGATGATTTTAGTTTAATATTTTTTTGTTTGTATCAGGGAAGGTATTGTAACTCTTGTTTAGTTCAAAGGTTGAGAATGTAATTTTCTTTTGATGTTTTAATATATTTATGTTTTCAATATTGCCTAATATTCGTTTAAAAACAAGTTTTTGAAAATTATTTAGATTTTTTGTTTAAAGTTTGATTTGTCCAATCCCTTTATTTAAATGATTTATTTCACTTTTTCTTGATGAAAATCTCTTTATTAAATTTCTATTGATTGAGTTTTTTTAAACAAATTATATACTGAATCATAAAAAATATTCCTTTTTATTAAAAAAGTTGTAAACGTAATATTTTTGGATTGATAAAATCGGCTTTATGAAAGCCGAATTTTTTTAAAAAAATTTACTAAAAACAGATTTGTGAAAGCCGATTTTCAAAAAAAAATTGTAAAAATCGGCTTTGATAAATTCGATTTTCCCTCTCAGGAAATGACTGCTCAAAACCTTCCCTTTGCGGGAATTAATTTCTCACCTTTTCTCATCGAGCTCTGTTTCAAATCAAAGTACCGGATTCTTCTCATTTGTCTCCTGCCCAATCTTTAAGTTAGAACTCCTTGTCCCCCATGAACATGTCTTTCGATCTTGGTTCTTCAGCACCTCTCATCGATTTTACCTGAAAGGAAGGGAAATCAACCTCATACTTGGAAAAACTTCGATTCTGATACCTCGTCTGAGCATGCTTCGGCATTAGCGTAATTCCCCTCCGGGAAGTCACCCAAGCTACCTCGAAGAAGCGCAGGCTCCGCAAGCAGTATCGATTCTCCGATCCCAGCCTATTTAGCCCCTGAGTGATGCCAAAAAAACTCTGTCAGGGCCCATTCGTGATGTAGAAAGGGCCCATTCGAGGAGTCCCTCGCAAATTATGGGTTCGAGTTCGTCCAAGGCGAGTATCGACATCAACCAAACCTGCTAAGGGACATCTCTGCAAGGTCCCACGACTTCACACCCTTTGGTGAGTCTCCCCCGTCTCTCTACATTTAAGTAGCCCTTTAGGTCCCTCTATGGACTCAAGAGCAGCGGCGGCGGCGGTAGAGTTGGGGTTTGACCTCTCCTTGACTAGGACAATGATAGTTGATCGTTGGTTGCCAAGCGGTCTCCAACAGCGGCGGTGTTGCTCTAACAACCTCTCCATCTCTGAACAGCAACTTTCAGGCTGATTTGGGCAGCAAGTCAGACTCGAACAGCAACGTAGTACTATGGTGGTGCTTGGGCAACAATGTTTAAGTTTGGCAGTGGGGTGAGCTTGCTCTTGAATCGAGGTGGTTGACTTTGTCGACTCGTAGGAGTGACGCTCTTGAATCGAATCGAAACCAATCGAGGTGAGTACGTGAACATCTAACATCAGAATATGCATCTAGGTTTGAAATTCCGTTCATAATTATTATCGTGGTTGATCTATGTGATTTATCTGTGTAATTGTTGGTCGATGGTTTCGAGAAATGTTGTCGTTGAATCAAAAAGAGGTAGTATACATGACATACATGACTTAGGCATTGATTGAAAAAAAAGTAGCCCTTTAGGTTTTATATGACCACCGGTTACAAACCTCCTTACTTCTACTATTTTCCTTTGATAGTTGAGAACGTGAACAAAATGCAGGGAATATGGCGATCTCCTCCACAAGCTCGTCGGAAACAAGAGGATGAGGAGCGCCCTCGCGAAGGGATCAAGGCGACTCTCTAAGGCGTCTAGTCATTTTGGAGGGAACACTCAAAGATCATGCTCATCCATTTTTTAGAAAATGGGAAATGATTATTGATGTTAGAATATAAAACCTTTTGGAGTCACAATCACAATCTTGAGTTTGTGGTTGAGTTGGTTTATTAACATGGTATCGAAACCTTGATGGTGTAGAGGTCACGAGTTCAAAATTCAACATCACAAAGTTTTAAAAAATTAAAATTTTACTTGAAAGACTCGAAAAGACAATATTTTAAACTTTTGGTTGAATCGGTTATGCGCACACTCGCGGGTCGTGACCTAAAGAGCAATTACGTAGAACACAACTATTTGCCTAAAGAATGCCCGTGACCATACTTTTGCGACGTTCCAAACACGGATCGGATGACCTTACTTGGTAGGAACTAATCGTAATCAATTCATAAACTTATGTTCAGTATGTAGTCTTTGTAATTAATTAAGCATGATGTGAAGAAAGCATCATGTTGTTTATCAATTAATTTCAATTAGCACTCAAATTAT